CACACACACACACACACACACACACACACACACACACACACACTCTCTCTCTCACACACACACACACACACACACACACACACTCACACTCTCTCTCTCTCTCACACACACACACACACACACACGCACACACACAAAATCTAAAACTAAAATAATGTATTCTAAATTAATGTTATCATTCAGTATATAAATTATTAATCCAATTATTATTATTATTTAAAATATAAAACAACTAATTATAATGTTAGTTTTAAATCAAATTAATACATTAAATTATTACTATTACGTGTACTAATTATTATTACTACTAATAATTACACATTTTAAATAAAAATATTATAAATGATAATGTTGTTGTTAAATCAAATTAATTAATTACTATCATTATTATTAAAAAATGATATATAAAAATAAAACAATGCATTATAAATAATATCAAATGTTATTATTCAATAAAAATTCACACACACTCAAACTCTCTCTCTCACACACACACACACCTTTAATTACTTGTTTACTTCAGCTTGAATGTTTTCAAATGATCTCCTTTTGTGTTCTACAAAAACGATCATCCAGGACTGGAACAAAATGAGGGCGAATAAATGATGACACCTTTTCATTTTCATTGAACACAGCTTTAAGTGAAACCTGATGATGACGAGGAGAACAAAGCTCCTTCGGTGCACCTGCGCTCCATCACTCGTTCCTGGATATTTCAGCTCGCCGCTATACAGGTGGCTGGAGAAACTTCTGGCAAACACCTGTACAGAAGACAAACATGCACTTGAGAAGAAGTATTTAATGAAATATAGACATAAATTCAAATTTTGCATTGTTATTGTAGTATTATATATACTATTATAGTATTTATTGATATTTTGAATCAGCTTTTACTTTTTTATGTTTTCAGTTTTCATTTAAATGTTAGTTTTTGTTATGTGCTTTTGTCCTTTTATTACATTGTTTTTTTTATATTACAATTTTTAGCATTAATTTATTAATTTATTTCAGTTAGTTGTCAAGGCAACATTTTTAATTTTCTTTGACGTTTTTTTATTTCAAGTTTTGTCATATTTACAATATTTTAACTTTATTTTAATTAACTATTTTAATTAATACATTTTTAATTATTTTACCATTTAAAAAAATGTAATGTTTATTATTTTAATTAATACAATTACCTTTAAATGTTTTAGAGTTAGTTTTAGTTTACAATAACAACACTGATTTTGCTGGCAGTGGGTTTTGCTTGGGCAAACATTATCATTATCTTTAGATTTGTAATTACATTTGACATTTCTTCTTTAATGCAATTCTATAGTTTATGTATAAATGTCTTGTTTGTAAATGGGAAAAGTTTCATTGTGCGTTGTTTGTGGTGGGAAACTGGACTGAATAATCCTTTAACACAGAAGTGCACGAGGTCTTTCATCACCCTGGATGACACAGAAATCACCCATCCCTTTTTTTTGGAAAGCTGAGGACGACACACCCACAGAGCACCACCTAAACCTCCCATGAACACCTGCTCTAGCACTTCATCAGATGGCCGTAACAATCAGGTGACAGCTGTGTGACTCATGACAGAATGACATGTTTGCATATCACACACACACACACACACACACACACACACACACACATGAGCTGCAGGAGTAGCGCGGGGAGGAGGAGCAGGACTCACGTGAGGGGAGAACAGCATGGTGTTGGAGGTGAAGGGCTCGCGGAACACCTTGATGATGAGGTTCAGGTCGCGCAGATACTGACGCACCTCCGCCATGAAGGCCTTCACCAGCTCATAGTCCATCTGCTCCTCGTCCATCAGAGGAAACACACTGATGTCCTCCTCCACCTGAGGGAACATGCCCATCAGCACCTGCAACCATAGCGACAGGGGCGGGGCTTGAGCCAGAGCTGGGCGGAGCCTGTCATAAACCCATCATCTCTGCCTCTAAACACTGATCAGCCAAAGACCAGCTTCACAGCTCCGTCAGAATAACAGCGCCGTGAAGAAATGAAGACAGCCATGCATATTATAATGTCATTGTACAATAAAAAATATTATTATAGTATTTTAATTAAATACTACGTTTTGTCAAATATATTACAATAGTAATATTTCTTATTTAGGTTTTTAGTATATTTTATTTAATAATAATAATAATAAAATTATTAATAAAAATTCATATTAAAATTATTAAAACAACACTTTTTAAATTAAAATAATAATTTGTATTATTATTATATTATTTTACAGTGAAATATTGCAATAATAATAATATTTCTTATTTTGTTTTTATTTATTATTTTATTTAGTGGTAGTAGTAATAATAGGTATTATTATTGTTATTACTTTTATTATTATGTTTTTTAATAAAAATGATTATATTATAGTATTTTCTTAAATACTAATTTTTTACAATGAAATATTACAATACTGATATTTCTTATTTTATTTTTACTTAGTAATCTTTATTTTTATTTAGTAATAATAATACAAGTATTAATAACAAATATTATTAATTATTATTATTGTTTTAAATAAAATATAAAGTATTTCAATAATTTTTCTAGTTTAAATTTATTTCAGAATTTTTTTATTTAAAGTATTATTTTTAATAATAATTTATTATTATTGTTATTATATTTTTCTTAAATACTTTTTTATTATTGCAATAATAATAATATTTGTTATTTTGTTTTTATTAGGTACTTTTATTTAGTAGTAGTTAGGGTTGGGTATGGTTTGGGTTTTTTATGATACCGGCGCCAAAACGATATTTTTAAAACGGTTCCGGTGCCTAAACCGGTACTTATTAAAAAATAAATAAATAAAAAATCCCCCCAAAAATGATGGATTGGCCATTAGAATAGAAATAGAATAGAGAGTGCTAGAGTTAGAGGGTCAAATGAAGATGAAAGATGTGTTTTCAGCCGTTTCTTGACAATATTAAGGACTCGGCTGCTTGGATTGAGCGGGGCAGGTCGTCCCACCGGGAGGGAACAGTTAATGTAGAAGTCCATGAAAGTTTATCATAATTCAAAATGTTTCAATACAAGCATTTCAGTCAAATGTAATTTATGCAATATTTCAAACCTTTAACCCACTTGGGAAAATCAACCCATGGCAACAGTTTAAAAGTAGCCCAATTCTGTGGAAAAAACGCGGACTTGGCAACCCTGCGTCCCACAAGAGCTGCAGGAGTCAGATCTGACTGATCACAGGTGGAGAATAAGAAGAGATGACTGACAAGAGCATGCTGGAGTATACGCTCAACAGATCCTGAGCTCACTGACAAATATCTGATCTTGTAAGATGCGCTCTCTTTACACAGAGTGTGTGTGATCGCCGAAATTGAAAGTGAAAGTAAACGGCGCAAACGCTCATTCAACAGAGATTTAAACACACCGCATCCTGAGAGCGGCTCCCTGATGCGCCACAATTATACCCAATATTAGAGTGTTTAAAGCAGTGGACACGAAACTCGCGGGAGCGAAACACATGTTGCGGGAGCAGGCGGAGATTCAGCGGGAGCGGGATTAAGAAAACAGCCGAAACCCGGCCGGACGCATGTTTGTAGGTCCAAAAAGAGGACATGTCCGGGAAAAGAGGACGTACGGTCACCCTAATTTCTTGCTAATCGATTTTTTACAGTGAAATATTACAGTAGTAGTATTTCTCATTTTGTTTTTTTATTTAGCAGTAGTAGCAGTAATAACAACGGTTGAACAGAAGCTTGACGCTTTTTTAAATATTTTGTCTAAAGGTTCAATAAACTTTTCTATTTAAAAAAAAAAAATGTCATATGCTTCACAGGGTTAAATGCATTTGCAGGTCGCAGAAAATTCAGCACTTTCTGTTCTGTTGTGTGACTGCTGAATTCATTTGGATTGCTATTAATGAAACTACGTTCCTCTCATTACATTATCATATAATGGTGTTAATAATAATAAATAATAGTATTATAAATTATAATATCATTATTAAATAAAAAACATACTCTATTATTATAGTAAAAATAATTAAAAATAAAATAACATTATAAATTACAATGTTATCATTAAAGCAAATAAATTACTATTATTATAATTACTACAAATAATTAAACATGTTAGATACAAATATTATAAATTATAATGTTGTTGTTAAATCAATTAAATAAATTAACTATCATTATTATTAAAAAATCTAAAACTAAAATAATGTATTCTAAATTAATGTTATCATTCAGTATATAAATTATTAATCCAATTATTATTATTAAAAATATAAAACAACTAATTATAAATGATGTTAGTTTTAAATCAAATTAATACATTAAATTATTACTATTACGTGTACTAATTATTATTACTACTAATAATTACACATTTTAAATAAATAATAAATTATAATATTATCATTAAATAAAATAAATTACTATTATTATTATTACTACCGATAATTAAAAAATGTAAAACACATATAATAAATTATAATATTATTATTATGATCATTAAATAAAATTACTATTATTATTATTACTACTAATAATTAAAATTTTAAAATAAATATTTAATAAATTATAATATTATTATTATGATCATTAAATAAAATAAATTACTATAATTATTATTACTACTAATAATTAAATTTAAAAAATATATATAATAAATTATAATATTATTATTAAATCAATAAATGCATGAATTACTTCATTACTCTATTATTAATTAAGAATACAAATAAAATAAGACATAAGACGCAAGTGTCGTTCTATAAGATGCGAGTTGATGAATAACGGCAGACTGCTCGGATGCTGGCTCTGATGTGATTGAGTGCAGCACACCTTGAGCAGCAGGTGGATCTTGTCGACAGGCAGCGCTAGCGGGTTCCTCCTCTTCCTCTTCTCGATCGCGATGGCCCATTTCTCCATGACTGATACAAATCTGAGGATAACCATGTACAAGAAAATCAATGTGGTGTTGCTCTTCTCTCCTTCTGATTGACAGACTTCTCAATGACTTTCTTATTGAAGTCAGGAATGTCTCTGACAAGTTTCTTCTCAATAGAAAGCATGGCCAGAGCAGTAAGGCGATCCTGGGTCATTGTATTCTTAGGAAAGTCTTGATCCTCTTCAAAGTAGAAAAGCACCTCTCTGACTCTGCTGTTGTCACAGGCGTGGTGATTATGATCTTGAGTAGACTGACAGTCTCTGTGAAAGTACTTTGAAGATTGTTCTTAATGAAAAACTGGTACAGAGGCACTGCACCACTGCCAACCTTAAACTCAGGGTTCTCATGGATGAGGGACAGTTCTGTTTTGAGCTTGGGCTTGTTCAGCATGGGGCATGCCTGCACTGTTGGTTCAAGTGCTGAACGGTGTGTGTGTGTGTGTGTGTTCACTGGTGTGTGTGTGTGTTCACTGCTGTGTGTGTGTGTGTGTTCACTGCAGTGTGTGTGTGTGTGTGTTCACTGCAGTGTGTGTGTGTGT